GCAAAGATACTTGCATTAATGATAAATCACGGTAAGTTTTTTACAAATTAATAATACTATGGGCTTTTATTTAGCAGAAAAGAATGGAGAAATGGCAAAAATTCACCCTAGATCAAAAATTAATAAAACAGTAATATTTTTAAACTACCGTATTAGCGATGTTACATGTGGATACAGAATTAGCAGCTAAGATGAAACTATTGTAACATTCTTAGCTTGGGATTCAACTTCACAAAATATTTAACGTACAAGTACACAGTACATACAAATTGTATCAAATGTAAAATAGGTGTCCCCCCATTGGCTAAATGAGTGACTATCACCAATCTGATTTTATTTTTAATCAATTTCATTCATTTTTTTTCAAGATTAAGTAAAGTCATTGATTTGGTTACTGATCTACAAATGCAGAAAAAAATGGAACCATTTGATTTTGAATTGCTACATCAAGCAGGTTTGACATTTGATGATACGGATGAACTTCCTCACCACGTCAGCACAGAGGATGAAATCAAAGCACTCCATGTTGCCATGGAAATTGTTTTATCAGCACTACCAAAACCTACCATGATTACAGTAGCAAGGTTAGTATTCAATTCTGTACATGCAATGAAAACAGTGCAGTTTCGACAATTGGACTGTGACACACTTTGTATATTTAATTGAATATAATAAAAATATAGTAGTGTCTAGACATAACACACACACTGACTCAAAGAATGTCAGAGATAATGTATGTGACGAATATTATAAACATAGTTGATGCTAAAGTCACATTAAGAAACCATATGATGACAGATCTTCATGAATACAATATTATACCGGCTGTACCAATGATAAACGTATTGTCTCAGTAAACCATCAAACAAAACCAAATGCTGCATGCTGCTCATGTCGAACTGAATCGATTTCCATGTAATATTGATAGATTCCCTCCTTGTGGCTGCTGACTAATCCATTTCCCTGCTCTATTCTTCTCTTGATCCAGGTCTACTTATGACGAGTACTGCCCCCCAGACCAAGTTGATTCCATACAACACAATCTACTAAGGGTCTTAATGTCAGTCTGTGGAAAAATTGATGTTCACATTGACTATGAGTCTTCAGAAGATGAGGCAGAAAATGAGGAAGCTTGCGGAGATGCAAGGAATGATGAGAAAGATGAAGGTACAACTGAGTTAACAAAGACTGTGAAGAATGATGGTGGAGATTAAATTTAGCACAGATAAAGTTTTATTTACTTATCACTTTACACAATTTTGTTGAAGTGTACTTTTTTGCTTGCAATACTGCCATTAAAAAGTATTAAAGGGGAACATTCTTTGTTTTGTTATTTTTATTTAACATGAAAAGTGCTTTCATCATTAAATCAAATTATTACGGCATATTTCATCATTATTACCCGCAAATGAATTGACTATTACCGGGTAGTGCTATATAGGTAGAACAATGACTGCATGCCCACAACGTTGACCTGTTGTAGTCCATCAGTAACAAAAGTTTTTGAGAGATTTACTATAATTCATGAAACAAAAACAAACTGTATTTATTCTTTAGGCCCAGTACGTACTACCACTGGATTTTTAATTTGATTGTATCTCATTTTGGTATGGAGAGGCGAGTTATTTTGTGAACCAATTGCTACGGTATATCAAGAATTCATCCCCAACACTCATGACCCACAAAATGCTAGTTTGGTTACAAAAACACATCTGATAATTAGATTTGGAGAGTACAGGTACGAAACTAGCATTTATGGAATCATACTGTGTGTGTTTGTGATGCATGTATTTAGCTTATATTGTACATGTATTTGTTTATATACAAACATAAATCGATACAACAGGTAACGATTTGGAAAACAAATTTCTAACGGGGGCTGGAGAATCATGTGATTTTGTCACATGGTATGTACGTGTGCTACTAGCATGCACACTTAGTGAGAAATACAAACAAAAAATAAACTTGTAGAATACATTGTGTATTTATTTGGTGCCACAAAAGTCATTTTGGCTTCACATTTAAAATATATGGAACAAATTGATAAAAACTTTGCTTGTGTGCAGCCACTTTGAAAATTACTGGAATCATTTGGGCATAATTCATAATAAATTAACTGTATTAACCACACAGGGTCTGAACTAAACAGCCACTCTCAGAGTGAACATTTCTCCAACAACTTAGGGAGTCACAGACATTACCAGTAGGCTGATCTACAAAGTCATGGCAGGTAACCCTATTACTACTACCACTGCTGAGGATGACCAGAATGCTACCAGTCTTGGGTTTGACACCCTGGTCCAACATGCAGGACAGGGACCTGAACATTGGTGTACCCAGAATGCTCTAGTCCCCCCTATTGTGACATCTACAACATTTCTGCTGCCAGGAATAAGAGACAAGTGGATTGACTTGGTGAGGACTGAAATATACAATAAATATTTACCATAGTATATTGACCTCTATAAATGTCAGGTGATCTATCTGGATTGATATATGACCCTATGCATCTGGTATGATCAGGTGACCTTTGATACATTTAGGGGTTTCCCATTTGAAAACTTAGGGGGGAGCATGATTTTCGGCAGACAATATTAATATGGGTGAAGTGAAAAATGTGTGAAATGAATGCATAATATTTGTTGTTTAAGGGGGAGCATGCCCCCGGACTTCCTAGTAAGGTTGGTAAGCAGGACACGCCCCCTTGTGCGAAATTTTGTGTTGCCGCCTCTGATACTGATACCGCTTGAACAAACACCAATACAAATTATTCCATTTTTCTGGGCATTTTTTTTGTTTGCTATCTCAAGAACCACCTGTATCTGATTTCAATGAAATTTAGTAATGGAAATAAAACATTGGTCCGGCAATTTATTTCAGTGCTCCCAGGCACCACATATTTTTCACGTATTCTAAATTTATGCTAATTGTTGAATGTTTACTTATTTTATTTATTATTCTTGTCTATGACAGTGTTTAATATTTTGTTTATTTTTGGCTGTAAATTTTGTAATTTTTTACATTATTTTAAGTTAAATATTCTAGTGCACAACATGAAGAGTTATGTATATTGTTTGTGATGTGAATGTGTCAGGTGGCCAGGAAAAAATTGATCATCACATGGATTTTTGATATCAACCGTTGACCAGGTTATATATGTTTTAATTTGTAGCCATATGTTTACTCAAGGCAGGGTAACCCGACTAGGAATGCCTTTGAAATTTGTATCGCTTCATTGGATGGGGCTAAACATGGTGAGTTTATAATTCTCTGCAGCCAGCTAGACCAAAAAAAAAATATTTTAATTTTAACAAAACTTTAATTCACATATTCTATCGAATGTTTTCCCCCAAATCAGTGGTCAAAACATTTTTTTTTTTTTTTTGGTTTAGGTATCGCTTTTTCATCAGGTGTGACAACTGCTCTTGCTGTTACCATGGCATTTTTGAAAACTGGTGATCATATAATTTGTGGAAGTGAAGTCTATGGTGGAATATCTGACCAGTTTCGACAAATCACTTCTAAGATGGGCATTGATGTGTCTTTCATTGACACGACTGATCCAAAGAATGTTGAGAAATCTATTAAGACAAATACCAGGGTAAATATATCAATGTGTTCAATGATAGACATTTTTTTTGCTTTCAAAGTCTATCAGTATTTAAATTTTACATTTGAAGCATGTGTACTCATGTCTTGTATAAATAGGTCACTTCCATGACCACTAAAGGTCACACATCCGGGTACTTTCATGACCTCTAAAGGTCACACATCCTGGTACTTTTATTGGTTTAAAAATCAAAATTCATTTTATTAATATTTCAGCACAAATTCCTAGATTTGACTATTTGTTTTAGCTACTAAAGTGAAATGATACTGTTAGGAACAAAAAGACACCTTAAAATGCCCCAATTATACATGTTGTCATACCAAAAAAAGTACCAGGATGTAGGGATCATGAAAATTGCCTATTGTTTGTTTCATACAATTTTGAAAATTTGACACTGCATAACATAATACATCTGTGTTTGTTTGTAGCTTTAAGTTCACGTATGAACTGTGTGTCATTTATCCAATGCCACAATTACTGTATTCATAAAATATCTAAGGCATATTGTTGCAAAATGGTCAAAAATTTTTGGTACATTTGGTAATTAACCAGTTAATTTGGTAATTCATTCAGTTGTTATTGCAACTAATAATGCATGTATTGATGGGGATTAAATTTTAGTATTAACGCAATTTAAATGAACAGCACTTCGGATCATACTTTGCTGTCATATTATTTGTTATTGCTTTGTTTACAGATGATTTGGTTAGAGACTCCTAGTAATCCATGTTTGCGTATAACCGACATCAAAGCGATTGCCGTTATCGCTCATCAACATCCAGATCTTTTCTTAGCTGTTGACAACACATTCAGCTCACCATATTACCAGGTAGGAGTTGATATTGAAAATCTTTGAAATGAACTCTGAACTCTGACCTAGCATCCATGTGGTGTTCCACTCACAATGCACTGCTCAACTAATGCCTAGATACAATGCTAGTAATTGTCATTACTCCTTCAGATTTATGCTAACAACCCATATTTATAATATATTTTTATTCTCTCAGAAACCTCTTGAGCTGGGAGCCGATCTCTGCATGGCGTCAGTTACAAAATACATTAATGGCCACTCTGATGTCTTAATGGGAATACTTTGTACAAATAACGATGAATTTAATGAAAAACTGAGAAATATGCAATTATGTAAGTAACTCGTGTCTTTTCGACAAGTCCCTGTTTCAAATAAAGTCTATATTCAGGAATATTACCCCCGGTAATTTATGTTTCATTGGTCAATCCATTCGTTCTTCTGTTAAATTGTATTTAGTCAACGTTACTTTAATCGTAGATCAGATTATGTCACGTACAATATGAGTTGTTTACTTGAGTTTGATTATTCTTTGCAGTAACTGGTGGCGTTCCCTCACCGTTTGATTGTTATCTTGCAAACCGTGGTGTGAAAACACTACCTGTTAGAATGGAAAGGCATCAACAAAATGCATTTGCTGTGGCTAATTTTTTGCAAAAGAACCCCAGAGTTGAGAAAGCCCTTTATCCAGGTAATAACAAACATTGTATGCACTAAATGTTAGTGTTTTTTTCTCTTGGTTTCATTTTACTCACTGTGAACCTTATGAATGCATTATTCATAGTGTGATCATTGTGTATCATAATTATATTCTGGTATTCTGGTAGAGATAAAACCAGTTGATCAGTGTAAACCAGTCTGCCTGTTTTTTGAACATTTCTGGCTATTCAAGTACAAAGTGATAACGCAACAGTTCATACATTCACCTCTGTTCTATCCATAGAATCGCCACTCTTCATGATCGGAGCGTAAATTGTATCGTTGTTCTATTTATAGAGTGGCCACTCCCCGTGATTGGGGCGTAAATTGTAATGCTGATCTATTTATAGAATCGCCACTCTCCGCAATTGGAGAGTAAATTGTACTGCTGTTCTATTTATAGAATGGCCACTCTCTGTGAATGGATCCTAAATTGTATCCTTGTTAGTTCCCGTTCGGACGCATGTTTTGACCTCAGTGTGTCCATGCGTGCGTGTGTGTGTGCGTCTGTGTGTGCGTCCGGACCTGTATCTTAGAAATGCCTGAACCAATCACAATCAAACTTCACACATACATGATACATACATACATGATATTATACATATGCGCGTCAATTTGTTTCACGATCTGATTCAAGATGGTCAAATGGCGGCCATTTTTGTGCTCAAAATCATCAAAATCAAGCATTTCTCGGCTGTTTACAGATGGATTTTGTTCAAACTCAGTATATACATTAGACATTATAAGACCTTGATGCACCTCGTTTTGTTTCACGATCTGATTAAAAATGGCCGAATGGCGGCCATTTTGTATTAATGAATGTGGTGCTCGTGGCATATCTCTGACTTGATTTCACTGATTATGTTCAAATTTTAAATATTCATTATACATCATGTCATAGATAGACAGATATATTGGTTTGACGATCCTATTCAAAATGGTCGAATGGTGGTAATTTTTATGCTAAAAAATCATCATTTATGGATGGATTTTGTTCAAACTTGGTACATACATTAAACATTACAGGTTCCTGATGCACATATTTTTTAGATTAGATTCAAAATGGCTGACTGGCAGCCATTTTGTTTTAATGATTGGGCTTCTAGAGCCATATCTCTTAAATGCTTTGACTGATTATATTCAAATTTTATATATTCATTATACATCATGTTATATATATACATGTATTCAGAATGGCTGATTTTGAATGCTGTTCCAGAGCAATATCTCTCAATATGGACAAGTACTTGTTTGACGATCAGATACAAATGTCAATCATTTTAATGTTAGAAAATCATATTCCTGACATGGTTATATTCCAGCTATATTACTATAAACAAAACTATATATCTTAAATTTGATAACTAACAGGGACTGTGCCATGCATGGCTTGTTCTATTTATAGAATGGCCACTCTCTGTGAATGGATCCTAAATTGTATCCTTGTTCTATTTATAGAATGGCCACTCTCCGTGATTGAAGCGTAAATTGTATTGTTGTTCTATTTATAGTTCTCTCTGTGATTGGAACTAAAAAGCTGACAACACTATTGTTTATTTTCAGGATTGCCAAATCATCCACAATATGAACTAGCAAAGAAACAGATGAAAGGTTTCAGTGGCATGGTTTGTTTCTGGTTGAAAGGAGGATTTGATGAAGCTGAAATATTCTTAAACAAATTACAGCTATTCAAGAATGCAGCCAGTCTTGGATCAGTCCATAGTCTTGCTGAACATCCGTAAGTTTTTGCTGTTTTTCAAAATCACGCTGTGCCTTGGAAAGTGTTTCTAACTCCCTCATTATCACCATGGTTACTCATATCAGAAGAAGAGTGCATGTGATAAGATTATGGCACACTATTTTAGATCCAAAAACAAGTCGTATGATTCTCATATGATTCTTGCTGTCCAGCAGAAAATGTCAACAAAGTTTGAGTCTGGTTATCGATGTTGATTGAAAACCATCGCTTTATTAACATGGAATTTACATGTACTTTTATAAGTATAGTGTGAACTAAATGTGTCCCAAGGTCGAATCTCAGTGTGGCACTCATTGGAAATGTTTGTTTGCAATTGGTTTTCACTAAAAATGGATTTTTCCCTGAAACTTTTTTTTTCCACAATTCATCATTTTTTTGACTG